GTACAAGCTGGATCTTTTCCTACTTGGTTCATGTAAGTAGAGTTTCAATCGATCACTGTGTGATCTCTTACTATAACTTCAGCTTGGACAAGTCACTGACCACAAATATACGCGAAGTCCCCTTAAATCATGACTTCACTCTGCTGAAATAGATCTTGTTTTGTGACAGGAACATTCGGCTAGAAATAAAACTAAATGAATTCAACCGTTAACATATGGCCATTTTGTGATGTTTCTTGTTTTATTTATTTTTTTACTTTGATTGATCGGAAAGAGAGAATACCGTCAATAATCGAGAAAACCCTGTCCACAGCCGTGCAGTTCTTCTGTATGGTCAGGTGGTGTTCTTGGCCTTTGTAAGAGTTTTTAAATTTTTTATTTTCGTTCATCTTGTTTCAAAGCTATTTTTAGATATAAGAATTATGTGGTTTGATGTTCATTACGGTGTTTAGAAGCAAAATTGATTAACTAAATGTTGTTTACCTTATTCTAGTTTGATGACAAAAACTGTGGGTTGTGAAATATATTTTTTATTAAAACAAAATAGGCTTATGTTTTCTTTCAATTTCACACCAAGTTACACGAGGGTTATCTGCAATAATTTTGAAGTGAGCGACTAAAGAGAAGGTAACTAGTCAATATCACAGATCGCAAACTCGTAGGCTACTCTTCTCCTCAGATCGAATAGTAGGATGCGACTTCAAAAGGACTGTGAGATTTTTTTATTATTATTATTTGCGGTAACGGGACGCGAATCGCGCAGCCTCAGTTTCATATTCCTGCATGCTAACCCTCTTGCCCAGGCTCGTCCCCAACACGTTTTTTATTATTTTAAGCAAAAACATGAATAACTATGTAAAACAATTATAGGTCTCTCGTGTATTTCATAATTGTATAAATAGGTTCACCGTTGATTGAAGTAATAAATCACGAGATCCGAATAATGCATGACTGAACTTCATTCCTCCGATAGTTTCACGTGAAATTTACTGTTAAATTCATTGTTTGAATGTGGAAAAATGTTCTAACTGCTTTTAAAAATAAGGACTACACTACAGTGATAATAAATATTTAATTTTATGATAAGGGGATATTAATAAAGGGATTCTGCGAGGATCTATTCTCGGGAATCGTCTTGTAATATATAAACTAGTTTGCAGACCAACCATATATAAAAATAGATCTTTAAAAAAAATCAGATAGACGTGATTAGAGAGTTTTACGGAATCATATAAAATTATATGGTGTTTTTGGTGTTGTTGTTGTTGTTTTATTAAAAACATATAGTCAGCTCTTGAAATTTGGATTCCTGAAAGAGACTTGAGTGTAAGGAATGTCGGTGTTGATAAGAAAGAGAGATCTATTTGCGATACTAGCGCGACTTTGAAGGCTTTTTATAGGAGATGAAAAGAATAAATGCAAGGATGGAAGCTAAATATTGACTTGAAGAACAAAGAAGCTACTATTTTGTAAATTACTCTGGTTAGGTCATGTATAGGGTACAGTGTTTATTCTAGGTCTACTCATTATTAGAGTATATTAATCTGATGAAATACAGTGAAATATAACGGCCAATAAATTTAACTCTACATTAAAAATAAAATAACATATAAAGATTTAGATCGGAGAATGGAATGAGTGTGTCGTTTTTTATTCGAAAGCAAGAATTAGATTTGTTGGATTTCGTGTACGTGTGCAGTTCATGTTATGGAATACCATGAATACTGAAGGCTGTATTTGCTTGAATACCGTGGATACCGAAGGCTGCATTTACTGAAATACAACTAATATTGAAGGCTGTACTTGCTGGAATACTGTGAATACTGAAGTTTATATTTGCTAAATACCGTAAATACTGAAGGTTGTATTTGCTGGAATACCATGAATACTGAAGGTTGTATTTGCTGGAATACCATGAATACTGAAGGTTGTATTTGCTGGAATACTGTGAATACTGAAGGTTATATTTGCTAAATACCGTAAATACTGACGGTTGTATTTGCTGGAATACTGTGAATACTGAAGGTTATATTTGCTAAATACCGTAAATACTGAAGGTTGTATTTGCTGGAATACCATGAATACTGAAGGTTGTATTTGCTAAATACCGTAAATACTGAAGGTTGTATTTGCTGGAATACCGTAAATACTGGGAATCGTATTTGATGGAATACCACGAATTTTGAAGGTTGTATTAGCTGGAGTACCTTTAATACTGAAGGCTATATTTGCTGAAATACCGTGAATAATAAAGGCTGTATTAGCTGGAATACCATGAATATTGAAGCTTGTGTTTGCTGGAATACCATGAATATTGGAGGCTATATTTGCTGAAATACCGTGAATAATAAAGGCTGTATTAGCTGGAATACCATGAATATTGAAGCTTGTGTTTGCTGGAATACCATGAATATTGGAGGCTCTATTTTCTAAATTGTTTAGTTTCATACAAACTCTAACTGTATCTTCGTTTCATACGCTTCTGGTCAACAGGAGTTTGAGGCTGTAACATGTATGAGACAGTACGTGGATGGCCCAGTGGCTAGCATACTGGACTATAGATCTACGGGTCCCAAATTCGCGTCTTCTTATCGCTGAAAAAAGTCATATTCCGCAACTTGGGATAATAGGTACGTTATAAGGGGACAGTCAAATCTATTATTCGGCAAGACAAGAATAGCCCAACAGTTAGAGGTGGATGTTGTTGACTAGTTGCTTTCCCTCTAGTCAGTCATTTCCAATATTAGGAACCACCGGCACAGATAGCCTTTGAGTAGCTTTTTGCAGATATCCGAAAATAAGCAAGCAAGAAAAAGGTCTCCAGCGATCAAAACATACAGATTTATTTCTTATTAATGACGTATGTCACATGGACTGTAAGCACCGTCAGCGTGAGTTTGTATTTATAGCCTGTAGACCAAGACAATTGTTTACTTACGAGAGCTGTTATTGTTGAGTGTAAGTTTTGATTATCTCACAAAGCCATGATTTTTGGTGTGTATTTTTTTAATTCCAACGTTAAATTACTCCTTTCTATATACATTCACACAGTCTTAGAAACTTCGACTACCCTTTCTCTTAATACAGTTTAGACACAGAAACGAACAACATAAAGTATAGTTATCAATATTGAATTTAGTATCGGTGAATCCAACGGGACGTCCTACCTAATAAATTAAAGCGCCTCTATAAATCACATAGTAAAAATATGAAAATGCTTCACGCAACGCCGATGTTTAGATAAACGCGAGGACTTGAAAGTGC